AAATGATAGCGAATGGCAACAATACAGACGTTCACGTATTCGCTCACTCCATACTTGGGTAACAGGATCGACTCTGAACATTGGCTTCATGGTATGAGATCACCGTGCAGTAAAAAGCACTATCATGAAATATGGCGGTTGTAAGTTATGTCGAGACGCTTCAATAAGGACAGACGGACGGACGGACGGACAGGAGCGATAGGGCCACGCAGCGACAAATAGTGAAGCTAGCTGAAGTGCTTTTACGACTAAGGACGTAAATTCAGTAGCGCTCGAATTTATTGTTTATAGTAATTGTTATATCAATTTATCTAGCTCATTTGTCGTATTTTCATTTGTTTCTAGTTGTTTAGTTCCTTTAGAGATTTAGGAACAGATGGACTTGGACCGCTGAAGAAAAATAGTTGTCATTAATTGTGGCCTGTTAGTCCGTCGCGTCACCTACAGTCGCATCATGGAATGCACAAATATTGAAAGAAATGCAACAAAATATTTCCACGTATTCCCTGAATTTACTCGAGACAACTTTTGCGACGTCATGGGTAAACTAGCTTTCGCCAGAATTCACCTTTATTATTATTGCTATCATTATTATAGATCAAACATTTTTTCTCGATCTGTTCGCATTCGGCCAATGATCGACTACCGCTTTTGCCGAGCAGACTATTACCTATTCTTTACGACTCTCTACGAGAGTTGTTTAATTCAGACTCGTTCTGTTATAGTTATGCCGGTATAGACGGTCATACTAGTTTACATTACGAGCACCGATTTATTAACAAAATATCTAATAGACTTCTATCGGTAAAAGGCAATTTTTTACGTAGATTCAGACTGAGACCGCCAACTGATACGCACTCAGCTCGGTTTGACCGAGCACCGATTCGAGATAAAGTTCCACCTTGGATCTTGTTATATTATGGTAAGAAATGATATTATTCACAGTAGGCACCGTTTGACTTACGGAAGGTAGTTTGCTTTTCGCTTGATTTTTGCGGCCCTCTAGGGCCTCGTATTTACATTTAAAGGTAAAAATGATAATTACGTTTTGCATTCGCCGACAAAGTCATTGTTTATCAAGTCGACTGTTTACTTATCAGGCAAGTCTAAACGCTTACAGCCTATCCAAAAGTCTACTTACGTTTAAAAGGTGTCCGTAATGTAAAAATACTTAGTTCCAATCCAATCTAGTCATTTCAATAAGGAAAAACTTTTAATATCACCGTTCCTATCGTTAGATACATTTAACAGTTAAGAGGCATTTGGACAAATAAATCGGTACGGACAATTTATATTAAGCCATACTTCTGTCATATCAGTTGAGAATATACCGATAGCCAACTAAGAGCTTGTGGAGCCGTATGTTTACCCACCAAGGAGGTTTTTGAAGACATAGAAAATAATGCTTGACGGATGAATGATGTATATCCTTCATCATGCCAGTTATAAGGAGATGGTTCACTTGAACAATTATGCTTAGTGCTATTTATAGGAGTCGATACGTACGATGGTCACTGAGAAATGGCGACCTCGCTTTACCCTTGCAATAATATTGCTCATTTTCATTGTTAGTATTTGGCCATAGATTTCCTTTCACACTGTGTTTTCTCAATGTATGCGACTCCAATATTATATATGTGTATATACACATATATACCAATTCTTCCTGTTGACAAAGTGTTTACATTATCACTTGCTAAGAAACATTACGGTGCGTAAACATTCTTTATTTTGAATACTGCTATTATTAGGACGTGAATGGAAAGTGCTGAAACTTTCCATTTAGAAGGTTTCCATTTCTTTAAACTTTTTTTTTTTTTTTTTTTTTTATATAAAAAAACTGATAAGATATAGAAAAACTAAGGCAGATTATAGAATTGATTGGCTTCTGTACAAATTCTGTTTCTGACAAAATTGAATCAATGGTCTAACTACGTAACAGCTTATCAAACTCGCCAAATTAAACTCATATTATATGCAGCTGACTATTAATAATACATATTGTTCTCAATTGTTAAGATTATCCTCTCGCGACTGGCGTGGTAATCAAGCTAGCAGACCTTAGTATTTTGAATAGAACTTTTACGGATTAGAGACGTACAAGCAAAGTTCTAAGTACAAACGTCACTTTAATTGTATGCCAAATAGATCAGCCTGGTGGCTCTGTTCCAAACTGAAACTTATCGTTCACAGCGGCAAATCAAGCTGTTCAATTTATCGCGTGACCCCTTTTTTCTAGCTACAACATGCGCTAATGTGAATCGTATTGAACATTTCGTATAATTCGGTTATGTGAAACGTACTCGCATAAAATCAAGTAGATTTTTCCTATCAGCTACTTTGGTCAGTCGCTAGTCAACTCAGCTCGTACACAGATGACGCTCTAGATAAATGCACTTTTCAAGATAATATTTAGTAACACAGGCTGCGAGTATGGCATCTATACCGAGTGAATTATTTCCATATTTTTTATGGACCTAATAGAAAAAAAAAATAACACGAGCTAATTCTTGTTTAACAATAAAGAAATATTTAAACCTAAAAAACGGATTCATAAACTAGATCCTCCTGTGTCTCCGCGTGTCCGCAACCCGCTTTTTAGTAAGCTAGCTTAAATTAGTAAGATTATCACAAGGATTCTTTTAAGCAGAATACACTATTTTGTATGTAGTTTTACTTGAATGATACAATCGTATTAGATATTAAAAACAAGGCTAAATGAAGTAGATATAACTGTGTTATGGACGTATGGCTCTAATTCGAAAACCCCTTTCGTGTGAAATCCCAAATGCAAAGGTTTATTCAAAGTTCTTTCACAAGTAAGTACTCCGTACCATCTCAAAGTAAACACGCTCCTTTGGAAATTCTAGAAGCTGTACACGACTCCTGAAAATTAAGAGAATATTTTTGATCAAATTCATCTCAGTGGTACGATAGTGTCATCGTAGTTAGTCCTCAAGTACCAGTATCAGGTACAGATATCTTGTTGCAATTGTAAACTGTACAGCTAGTTTTCTGATATTCCACATTTGTGTCGTTCTTGTTTAACTTACGCAACACCTGCGCCAGAAATTTTGCACCAATTAAAAATATAGGTTCCCGGTGTTTTTTTTCAGTTTTTTAAGATTTATCTTTTTTTTTATTTATTTATTTATTTTTTTTTAAAGATAATTAGACAGACGTAGGTAGAAGACAGGTTTTTTTTACATATAACCTTTTTATTCTCACTCACATGTATTGTTCAATATATGTCGACGGCGGAACCTAAACCATTTTTTGACTACAGGGGATCTAGTTTTTTTTTCAAGTATAATATCTACCATTTCCTAAGTACTTTCTATTGTAAAGAAAA